TTAGATACAAAAATAGAAAACTTACCTCCGCCAAAAAATTTTACGAAGCTGCAGCTGCTACACTGACTGCACCACCGTAGCCTGACCATGATAAGCAACCTACTATGGTTCGAAGCTTGTTGGCGATTACGAAACCAGTACCGTTTCACCTCACCTCTCATAAAAACGATTACAATTTCTGCGTGCCTATCATAACGTCTTAACTTTTTTTACTATCTTTTACTTTAAGAAAAATACACTTTGCATAAAATAATTATCAACTCACAGTCAACTAACTTGGCGAAATAATGTTTAATGACATTAGTTACACCTCCCTTAATTTAACACTAAACATTTAAGTTGAGGTGCCTATAGAGGGCACCCTTTATCCGAGACTCGAAATTACTGTAACTACAAAGTCTTTTAACCGGTAACGGTTCATTCTTACATCTAACTGCTCATTTAAAAAAGAGGTTACAAAACATTAAAATGCAACATATTTTATGATATTTAATGATATCAATAATATTAAAAACAATTAAGAAATTCGATTTAATTAAACCAATCCCACATACATTATATCTTGATAAAAAGTTAATTTATTTGTATTTGTCAATTTCGTTGTAAATAGCGACAAGTTGATCAGTTATTCTTTCTGGTTCATCGTAATTTTGGACATACTCCATATACTATATTATATATATATATTATATATATATATATATATATATAGGTCATTACCCCAGTAAAGAGTAATATATAACCGGAAACCCGAATAGTGTTATCTCTATCCGAGTACCCCGGTAGGCTATTAGCTTTATTCGAGAGCCTGGGTACAGGGTTATCTTTTTTCAAGTACCCGGATATGGCGGTATCTTTATCTTAGTACCCGGCTAGACGGTTATCTTTATCCGGGTACCCGGGGTATATTTTTCCGGAGACCCGGGTAGTGGGTTATCATTACACGAGTACCCGGATATAGGGTTGTATTTAACTTAGTACCCGGTTAGGACGTTGTCTTTATCCCAGTACCCGGGTAAGGTTATCTTAATCCGAGTACACGGGTAGGCAGTTATCGTTATCCGGGTACCTGATAGCGGGTTATATGTGCCAGATTCCCCGGGTAGAGGGTTATCTTTATCAGCGTACCCGGATAGATTATCTTTAGGTAGGGATAAATTTTATCTGTGTACTTGGGTAACGGGTTATTCTTTTCCGGGCAGCCGGGTAGGGGTTAATATATGTATGTATATCCGGGTATCTTGGAAAATAATATGCATTCGGGTTCATCGTTAGGGGGTTATTTTCATCAACAGCAAATCAAACTGGTTCCGAACTTGCGCTGAGCTAGCCTAAAAAGTGACGGTACTGGTTCTTCATCTATCCCTCAATGCTTTCAACTGTCTCTTTAACATGGCGAGACGATGTCCTACGAAGTGACAATTGTCGCCCTCTGCAGAATTTTTGAACTTCTTCTGAACTGACTCTGGCTTAGATGGTTCTGAGACAATTCATATAACAAATGAGCAAATCTGGTTAGTTTTGAGCAGGTACTAAAAAGTATAGTGTAGAGCCTTTTCTTTAAATACTGTAATTAAATAAGCACGCATACAATTTTGTAGATAAAAGTTACTTCATTTTATGATTAATGAGCTATTTGTTTTGCACTAATTTACTTTTTGAGGCAAACTGTGCTTTAAAATTAGGAACATAAAGTGTCAGTTATTCCTTCATTTTCTAAAACCGTTATTCTTAAAAATAATTTATATTTGTTACGTATAAAGGGTATTTCTGTGATACTTATAATTAAATATCTAAACTAAGTCGTGTGAAAAAAAATAGAAAAACCGTGATATATTGAATGCCTATTTGTGATAACTCAGCGTAGAATTGTATTGAAATGAAATACATAGATTCTCCGGCATCTAATAAGAATATATAGAATTTTTAATATTTACAATGGTTTTCATGCTAAATATTTTTCATAAATTTACATAAACATATGTATAAATTCACGCTTCCAACTGTGTTGGAAATTTAGTAAAATTCTACACCTTTTCAAGTTTATAATGAGAAAATGTAAACTCATATTGGGAAATCCCAAATTGATAATGAGAAGCGTAAATTCATATTGAGAAAGTACAACTTCATAATGAGAAATGTAAATTTATATTGAGAATATATAAGTTGATAATGAGAAATATAGATTCATATTGAGAATATATAAATTGATAATGAGGAATGTAAGTTCATAATGAGAATATATAGATTGATAATGAGAAAACGTAAATTCTTAATGAGAAAATGTAAATTGATAATGAGAACATAAAAAATTATATCAATGAAGAGCTACAAGTACATTACTCTGGAGCCTGTGAGCTAATGTCGCGATATTAGGTGAATTAAAGCAAGCATCAAAGGACACTGCCAAAAAAATGTATAATATATACAACCCGAAATTAAAGTTGGACATCGCATTTACACGAACGCTATGTGTGAGCGCCCCCGTTTGCCTTTTTATGTGTAACACTTCAGCTGTGGTTATTGCATCAATAAAGTGGATGTTTGGCCCTCTGAAAGCAGGGAGCTGTAGAGTGGCACGGTGGCCAATTTTTTTATCGGCCACGTGACATTCGGCAAAACAAATTAAAATTTGTTTCATCCTTCCATGCTAGTTGTTTACCACTTTCGGCTCGTTTTAATTTTTTATCCTGCGAGTTCATGGTTATTGGTAGCGTATGGACTTTTTTGCAACTGTACAGATTGCCCTCGAGATAATTTGCCACTGCTGTGGTGCTCAATTCTACATTAAACTGGTTTTGTACTTTTCTTTTCAATTGTCCAAGGGTAAAACTGCAGTCACCTTCAAGCCAGGATAACATAGTCATCACGTTGTCTTCAATCAGCTTTTTCGGTCGCTTACACCTCTTGGTTTTGCTTCCGTATCTTCGCTAACGATCCAGCGATAGGCCCGAGTGTACGTATTTTCTCGTTATGAATTTACGTTTTCTCATTATCAATTTATATATACTCAATATGAATTTACATTTCTCATTATCAATTTTTATTTTCTCAATATGAATTTTCATTTCTTATTATCAGTTTGTATTTTCTCATTATAAACTTGAAAAGGTGTAGAACTGTTAAAAACACTTCAATATTTTCAAACCGGAGTTATAAGTATGCATTCCCATGCCCATTAAATTTTAGTATAATTTAACGCGCTGATTTTTCATAACTCTTTTTACGCACGCTTTTGAAGGTTTTCTCCTATTAATATTTTCGTTTAAGATGCATGGTTACACTTTACTACACTAAAATTTGATGGGCTACAAAACTGAATACTCGAAATATTTATAAAAAAAAACTCTGATTAAAAAGATTGAAATCTGAAGACAGGTTTAGTGCTCTATCAAGTTTGCAGCACAGTTGAGAATTTGAATTTAAATAGTTTATGGAATATGAGACATACTTAACGAAAAATATTTAAAATGAAAAACAATGGAAATTTAAAAAAAAATCACTGCATAACTACACATTTCGGGTCCTCAGTGATATATTTACGTATGTGCAGTATCGTTCATATCAACAGCACCCCCATTTCATAGTTAGATTGTTAACCACTTTTGTCTTTTTTTTTATCTGATTAAAAGGTCGAAAATTTTGATGAAAAATCGTTAAATTTTCCTTTGTTTTGTATAGTTTGAAAACACGGTTTATATGATTTTTGTTTTAAACATGATCCATTTTTTTTTATAAAATAATAGCAAACAAATTTTAACTCTCAATATATCGTGAATATTTAAAAAAGAAATGGTGTACACAGACTTTTGCTGTTAAGCGTAGCTTAACTAAATATAATGGTTGACATAATGTTACCATTAATGTTGCCAATAACGTGTTTCTTGGTTGGAAATATTTTAGCAGTTGCCCCATAAACTAGAGAAGTACATATTAAATAAACAGTTTACCATTAGTTTTAGGGGCTGAGAAAATCGAAAAAATATAGTATAGTACATTTGTGCATCTGTTGCCAGCTTTCGCATGGACAGGATGAGTAACATTGATGACAGGGCAACTAGCAACATATGAGTTTCAACCGCCCAGCCCTGCATCCCTTTTGCAGTAGTTCAGAGACAGTTATGAAATTCGTAGGGCGGAATTAGCGCTTTGCCACACTGTCTCTAAATTCTGCTGCAGGGACAGATACGCGGGTAGGAGGTTTTACTTGTTCGGGAACCCGGGTAGTGGGCTAGGGGGTAATCATGATCCGGGTAGTGAATAGCGCAACCATCGCTTTCATATCAAATAAATTGATTGAGAAGAATTTTTATTTTCCCATCAGTAAAGGTTTCTCACTGAGAGCAACCAGTAAAGCATTGTTAAAAACGTTTCGGTTAATCTCCGACTGCGGCCATAGGTATTATTATGCGAGCATTTGAATTGGTTAATAGTTTTCTTCGATCTCTGAAATAAATACATTGGGCACGTAAAAACTTCATACACTCAGCGAAGCTGGTGGGGGGCAAACTAGTACTAAAATTAAAATAAAAACTATTCTAAAATGACTGGAAAGACTTTTACTTTAACAAAATCTCTCAAAACTGATTCGCATTGTTGGTTTGGCTATACAAATACTTTACAAACCACAAATACTACAAACTTACCTCAATGATAAATTTAACATCGTTGAAGTTTTTCAAAGACAATGCCATTATTGCTAAATTCTCTGGTGAGCCGAGCATCTGCGGTATAATACTCCTTTCGTTTAAGCGATTAAAGTCGCGACGAGACTTCAGTTCATCCATTGGATTGCGCTCAGCGTCTTCTGCCGTAGTGACACTACTAATCATTATATTTACATTGCTCGGATTTTGTTCACACACTTGAAATGAAGGACGTGCCATCCCGGCCGCACCACTAATTGTGGCCCGCCGTTTCTTTCTTGCTGCTTTGCGCCGTGACAAACTAGCATAATTGCTGCGGTCACGACTGTCATCATCGCTGGAGGATTTTTCTACGGCATCTTCATGCACATGCACCAGTTGCAGCAATTCTTCGGGCTCTAGTCTGTACTTCTGCTGTATATTTGCCAATGTAAAGGATTTGTCAAATTTTTCCAATACAGAATATTTCCATAATGCCTCAGTGATTATATCAACGATTCGTTGAAAGCGAATTTGTACCCGTTCTGAGGCAAGCTTGTAATCTTCTGAATGTATTTTTTTCGTTATAAAATTTCGCACAAAACCAAATATAACACGTAGTGCACTCCCACAACAAATAAAACCATGACGGCCGCTGGCAGCGGAAACTGATGTTGAACGGATCGATGCTGTATGTGTTTCCATGGCAGCTTCAGCCGTAGTGCTGGTGTCGCTTGAGTATGCAGAGTGGCTACGATTTGCACGATATGTAGAGAAACATGCATTAGAAGACTTTCGTAAATGCTCCCAGCGCAGAAATATCAGTTGGAAAATATCCTCGATAAGTGCGCACAACATATCTACGTTAAGAATTTTGCGCAGCATCCCGTTTAACTGCTGAATCTTTCGGTCGTAATATTTGTCCAAATCATAATTTTCGCAGGGTAGCATTATTTCACACACAGTGGATAATGCTGTATAATAATTCAATGTCTCCATTTCAAGTTCATAAAGACATTTCATATTTGTTAGCTTCATTTGCCATTTACGTGTGGTCTCCAACAAGCGCCGTATATCTTCGAAACTGACAGATATAGGAAAAAGTGTTTAAAATTTGTCGGCAATATCATTCTCACTGAACTTACCTCGCATCAAAGTCGTAATCGTAGAGTAGCTTTAGTATGCTTCTTGCATTTAATATTGCGTCTAATGGCGTTGCTTTATATGTTTCCGAAAATTTTTTCAAGAAATCTATAATGATAGCAATACGCTGAAAATCAGCGTGAAAGAATTTGTGTATTTCCTGCAAATGCACTGGACTCTCATCAACGTTATACTCCGCCAACCATTTGTTTATGTTACCCACTTCAGCCAATGTTTGTTTGGTATTGGATAATTCATTAGCAAACTTTAAAATTAATAAATTGTTACGTAAACCTTTATCTGTAACATTATGCGCGCTTTTTAAATTCATCGCCGCCAACGGAGCAAAATGCTGTTTGTTACGGAGAGATTGATGCAATACAAATTCCTTACTTGGCACCCCTATTGAGCAATTTTGCCACTGTTCCTGAGACTTTTCCAGTACTTCCACTAAGAGATTGGAATCATGTCTTCCAAGCAGCGCTAAACATATATCATCAGCTTTTGCCATTTCTTCTGTTAATCGTTTGAATAACTTCAATCGCAAAGATGGCGCTTCTAGTATGTTAAGTGGAAAGTTTACGATGAAATTAATGAACGCTGCCCTACATTTACTATCATTTTGTGCCAATAATATATGCAGCACTTCTGCGATTACACGACTGATATGAAATTTTGATTTGTCCCGGCTTTGGTTCAGTATCTGTATGGTAGGGTATATGTGGCACTCTAGTAGTCGCGTTACACTTTCGAAGCCTGCTGACACCCCATTGCCGATGGAGGGGCGTAGGGTGTGCAGCCAATTCTGCAAAACAGATCAAAGTACACAAATGTAAGTATATGTTCATATGTATCATTAGCCAATGTTGATAACTTGCATCTCATACAAACCTTTAATAAATTACATTCGGAAGGAGATAATAAATTTAAGTACTCCTGAATGTGTGTTTCCATCTCCTGCTTAGTCTGGGTTGACTCCGACATCGTCGGGGCGCCAGAAGTGATACAAATATTGATTATTGTAGCAACTGAAATAGTGCATATACATATATGTATGTATAACACAAAATATCGTTGGAAGAGTGTATAATATTTAAATGTCCTCGGTGCGCACTCTCCGCTGAATTGCTGCAATTTGCGGCAGCTTGGTGTTTCCCTGTTTCTTCAACTATAAGCTTGGCCTTTTATTTAACAAAAAAGCCTATCAAGCAGGAAGGCAAATGTAACTCGAAACCGATTAGACTTAATTAATGCAATTTACACACATACGTACGTAATTTTCCTTTGTTTAGCCCCCATATGGCATCAGCTGGATTTGTTTTGATGGTGCACCAACAAACATTTCTAGTGCTGCCGGACAGTGAATTCAATAAAAGGGCAGGCATTTGGCTATTTGTCCCAATTTTCCAAGCGACATCCGTGGTGTAGCGAATGTCAATAATTCGGTGCTACCGTATCACGTTTAATTAT